TTTATTCCTCTGAAGATGTGCCCAAAGCTTTTCTCTCTCCGAGTGCCTGTCTCTCTTTCAGCCTTGAGTAGCCCTACACTTTCGATCGTACAATCGCAGCATCTGCTTAATCTTGCAGATAAAAATATGACACAAAACACAGCTGATAAAGGATTTGTTAAATCCCGGTAATGACGGATCAACGCAGGAGATAATGGAGAAGGATGGTGAGAGCCGTATGGCGCGGGGGGCACCGCGGTTTGCTCTCTTGTGGAGAAAGCGCCAGGTGATGGCAAGGAAAGCACCGTTCCGAGGAGGAGAACACACCAAATCCACCTCCTTTCTCTCCTTGAAAAAACATAGCAGACATAAATTTAATTGGCTTATCAAGGCGCGGCGAAAGGACCTCGCTGTTAATTGGCTGCGGGGGCGCACAAAACAAACGCGGCGACATGTTTAGCCTGGCTGCCCCGCGCTGCGCTTTCAGCCGGTGTCACGTCATTGAAAATGTGTTTTATTATTGCAAAACGTCACATGCTTTACAGTTGCCATATTGTGTCCTGGACAAAAGGCTGATGGAACATTAAAGACGCGGAAAACGGTGCCAACCCGTCTCGAAGACACTTGCAAGGGCCTCTCTCTTTGCTTGTTTTTAGGCAGCTGCTGTCCAGGGACTCAGGCGTAAGGACATGAAAAGAGACAAAGTTTGAACTGCAGGTGCATCCCCGGAGAAACACGGCGCTCAGCGATCTGTTCCAGGGAGCCTCATAAAAATGTAATTTAGATTGGAAGGTCACGTCTGAAAGGAAAGAGCGCACGGGAAGGGAGAATGATCGCAGCTCACTCCCCTCCCTGCCTCCCTGCCTCCCTGCCTCCCTGCCTCACACCTCCCTCTGCTTCCTGCTCTCTCTGTACACACTAGTTGGTTAGTTACAGCGGCTCCTCTCTCGTCAGCCTCCCCGAACAGGAGAGCTCTGTTCCGGCATGGCATAGAGCTGAGAGTCCGGGCAGTGCAGCACCACGGCTGCCAAACCAATGTTGGGCATGAAATAAGAAATAACCTATTATTAATTATGATCCCAGGATCTGTGTTTCCGAAGCGAGATCATCTGAAAATCAAGCCGATGTGTGTTAGCGTCTCTCCCTGCGCGCCAACATACGGGCTGCGCGGCTTAGCGCGGGTTTAACAGCTTTAGACCCTCTTACTTTCCTCTCATTACTGTATCAGTCAAAGCTGTTTAACTAAAGCTTCACACCGACACTCATCCCGTCCACAGCATAATTGTTTGACATGATGGCTTTTTCATTTATCACCTGTTGATTTAGTTTTTAGAAATGAGCGCAAACCCATACTGACAGCCGCTGGTGCGTAAAAGTGCCAATCTCAGCCTTTTCCTGCTAATGACCTTCCGCAGTAGGACTACTCCACGGGAAAGCTCTGCTATGAGGAGCCAGAAAGCAACAAATGTCTCTGCGGGAGGGGGGAAATGTCTCATTGATATTCTCTCTGCGGTGTTGTGCATAACAGACCAACAGTTCCACAAAGCTGCGCTGCTGACTCAAACCGTTTATCAGTTATGATTTTTAAATAATTAGTATAACCACTCAAACGTTTCTTATTACATTTTAAAAGTTTAAACAAAAGTTGAATCCTTAATAAACTCATATTCTGTTTAAATAAATCCAAGAAAGTATTTTTAATTAGATTTGAGCTCTTACAGTACATTAATAGATGCAGAAGAAAAATGAGTCATCGATTTACGGTTCAATGTAATTCAATTCATTTGCGGTGATTTTATTCATTGAGAATTTGTGTCTGTTCTAAAAGTCCAGAAAACGTTTTGAAAATATCAAACAATTATAATGTTGAATTATTAAAGCATTTTTCAAATGTATATTTTCATTAGGCAGAGTAAATATATATCACATCAATATATTTCCAAAATACATTTATGGATGAGAAAATATAAAATCAAAAGAAGCCTTTAAGAAGATCTCCTTCAGAGCAGTAGGCCAGCAGGTGGTTGTTCCATCTTTATATCACATTGTGCTATTTGAATCTTCACATCAGTATCCTATAAATGACTGAGTGGATCTGAAATGTATAACAAGTGAAGCTGCTCGTTTACTGGAGTTCATAAAGCCCTGATTCAACTCATTGAGTCACTGACGTCTTCTACTGATGTCTTCAATAATGATTTAAACGACTGAAATGATATTCTAAGCCTATAATGTAATTTAATTCAATGCATTGTATTGCACGTATACGCTTCACATATCAAATTCATGGTTTTATCTCAGAATTGTACAGTGGGATTTTCCAGATTTCAAACATAATATCGTTTTTTTTTTTTAAATAAGGTTAAATCAGATGTATTTCCTCCTCTTTTTTTTAGTGAAATCCGAATGTATCATCACAATGCTGAGTTAAATCTGAAACATAATAACATATTATAATATTCTTTCCACACATTGCGGCCCTTTTATGTTACCTACCTAACATCATACTGTCGGTACAAAGCACGCTCCCTAAATGCTGAATCAGCGGCCTTTGAGCGCGGCTCCGACTCTTTCTCCTCCAAATGACCGCTTAACGCGCCCTCTAATGCCGGCCTGCTGAGAAGTAGAGTTAATAAAAGCTGTCACACAGTAAAGTGCTCGCGCCCTGTAAAGCCTTGCCAAGCCCGCCGCCGCGGCCGGAGAGACAGATAGCCCGGGAGAGTTCCATTCGCTCCTTCCGCACCAGAGGATCTCTGCGCTGCGCACTCACAGCCATCAGCGGCACAAAGGCGTTTAGGTGCAAAAACACAATGCTACCACTGTTTTAACCGCGGCTCTGCTGCGACACAAAGTGGAACCGAGTCGCCTGCCAAAGAAATGAAGCTGCCCAGCATTCACTCTCTAACATTTGACTTTCCACTGGCTGTAATCGGATTACATGCTCCTGTCGCGCTTGAGGAGCGGACGGACTCACAGAGGAAGCTGAGAAGAGAGGGACACAAAACCTTGAGGTTAAAAAGCAGAACAAAGTGGCATCCTGTAAGAAAATAAAAAACATAAATAATAGTTGTTACTCAGAGACTATTTCGTCTAGACCAACTCATTATATATTACATTTACACGTTACCCACGCAGAACAAAATGAAAATGAAAATGAAATTGAAATTGAAAGCGATATACAAAATAAGTTTAAATAAAACACATTAGGTTACATGTAGTATTATTGCTTTCAACTATCCTAATACAACTATGTGTAAACTGTCTAAATAATATATGAAATTAAAGTCAACGTTTCCATGTTCTCAGTGCATTTAAAGATGAACATATGACTGATTGTTCACAATATCTGAAAGGAAAACAGTCACATGTTGCAACTGACCGGACAGTTGCAACATGTTTAAAATACATTACATTTAACCTTCAATTATTGTCTCAATGAAAACAGTAACATAGCATTATTTATTGCACAACTGTTTTATAATAGTTGGATTAATAAATCTGAGCTAGCCCACCTGTGGTGCTGGAGCTTTTTAAAATCCACTCTCCCTGCAGCAGCATGTCCCCTCAGACTTGTGTTTCAGCTCTGGGGGCCACACGGTTCATATATGCGGGCTGCGGTGGGGGGGGGGGGGGGGGGGGGGGGGGGGCGGCCGCAGAGGAGGCCGTGCGCGGGGACACATGTTGGAGAGATGCCGCTACCACGGGAAAATGTGTCCCGGCAGCACCTGGCAGCACAGAGCCGCATTCAACAGCTTCCCACCATCCTGTGCGCGCCCGCGTGCGCTTTAAACACCTTCAGCTGTTGTGGGTATACAGGCTGCACATTAGCATCTCATTTGCATATTTATGTCACAATATGTGGCTGTACTGTCTAATTCAGAGTGAGGGGAGACAGTTGAAAAACTTTTTGCATTTCTGTCTGGACCAACTCATGTTCTATGAAACCTACAAGTGTGTGCTAATTAGCCACAGCATCTCAAGATGGATCTATGACGGATTGTTCATTTGAATGGAGCAAAGTCAGATGTGGCAGCAGACCCCCACCCTGGGACAGTTCATCACATCAGTGATGGTGGCAACATGTTTATAATGCTCTATATTTCACTAAATAAGTGTCACTTGTTGTCTCTATGAACATATTGATTCTTACAATATGTCGTTTTATTGATTGATAATAAACAGCGTTATTATTGCCCTAACGGCATCTTTTCTTCAGTAAATATGACCTGCAACTTCGGGTTTGGGCTGATTTGTGTGAACTATCCTCATTATTTACTCCACAGTCACCTTTGCATGTTCAGAAAAGCAATATGAATTTGTATTTGGGTTCAATATTCTTTAGATCACTTTACATTGAGTTCAAGGCGAGTACAGTAACACATGTTAAGATGAGGCAGGATGCTTCAGAGTCATGTATCAGCACTGACACAAATAAAGGTCCTTATGATAAAACAACATGAGCTTTGACCGTGTTATTAAACTCAAGGCGTTTTGAAATAACAGGTTTATGATGCATTTGATTCTGGTCATCAGTTTTTCACCATTGTTTCATTCAAAGCCTATCTCCATTAAAACCAGTTGTTGTTAGATAATGAAGTAAGTCAGTAAGTAGGATGTTGTTGGAGCACATTTGAAGACAACACTCCAAAGTGCTTTAAAGGGAGAACGCATACTGCTTAGATCTTTTATTAAATCTCACTTATTGGTAACAATCCATGTGCTGAGAATTTATTTCAAGCGTTTTGAATATGAATAATGACTTTCCAGGCAAAACATTAAGAATCATGTCACAATGCTACATATCTGATTTCATATGCCATTTTGACCAAACAATAATAAAACATATTTAAGCAAGACAAATACAAAAAGTGTTATCAGTAAGTGCTTTTATTCGCAGATTCATTATAAATATAAATCATTGTACAACAATGTAAAAACCTTTTCTCTCATTCATTGCATTTAAATTAAAACGTATATTATCACTCGTGAAAAACAATAAATACATGATTGCCAGTTGCCTGAATTACAAAATAAAATTATCAACATGATAAAACTATTTACAGAAAGCCTGTAGGAGCTCACATGGTGTCCACATTTCTTGTTGCAATGCGCCTTCAAGTGCATTATCAATAACATCATTCATGTCCACACACTAACACAGCGCGTTTCACAGGAGGGTGTTCAGACCACCAGGCCGAAGGGAGGCTCGTTTTCAATGTCTGTGAGGCCCGGTTTGTTGTGCAGTTTTCGGGGGTCTTCGGGGGTCCACACCTTGGCGGTGCGGATGATGTTCTGCTCGCGGAGCTGCTTCTCATCCGACCAGGACAGAGAGTGCCCGGCCAGGGGGGGGAGGCCGTAGTCTGGGTCGCTGGGAGAGGGAGACCCTGGGGAGAGAAGAGAAGAGAGGAACATTAGTGTCTATTTTTATTTGATTTATCATCATATTTATTAGCATATTAAGACTTTTCAGGTTTGCAAAAATAGAAGTGATGCGTGGCATTTCTGCAGATCACTATGCGCCAAAAACTGGATTTAGATTATTACAACATTTGTCTTGAGCAACCAGTATGCCACTGTTTAGTTGCAGTGCGGAAAGGGGTAGATGACACGAGGCAAATGGTCTCAGTACATGGCCCGCCAGCTAATCTGTATGCGGCCTGATCTTAATGTTTTTCGGAGAACTTACTTGTTCCTCTGTGGCAGATGATGATCTTCTTGGGTTGCGCATGCGTCTCGCTGTTGGAGTTCCTGATGGGCAGGTCGGACTGCACCAGCTCCGCGAGGAAGTTGATGTACCCGATGGCGAGCCGCAGCGTGTCCACCTTGGAGAGCCTCTTCTCGTAGGGCAGGGTGGGGATGTGAGTGCGGAGCCCCTCGAACGCGTCGTTGATGGACTGCATGCGGCGCCGCTCCCGCACGTTGGCCGCCTGCCGCAGGTGCTGCATCTCGTTGTCCGACCTCATCCGCCTCCTGCGCTTCAGCGACGGCCCGCCGTGGTGCCCCATCCGCGGGGACAGCTCCGATGTGCTGTCCGCGCAGCCGTAGGAGAAGGTGGAGGAGGAGGAGGAGAAGGACAGGTTGCCCATGTCGTAGTCTCCATCCGCTCGGCCGTCTTTGCCGTAGTAGTCTTGGAAATGACTCGTGAGGAAGTCCACGTCCTCATCCAGAAAGTCATCCGTGTCCAAGTGTCCGTCTCTCGAGGACTGGTCCGTGAAAAACTCGTCATCGTCGAAGTAAGGAGGGGAGGAGAAAGAGTCGAGTCCAGAGAAGGGGTCCAGCACGCTGTCCATCTTTGTCCGCTGCAACAATGACGCTGTTTCTGTTTCTTTTATCCGCGCGCTGCTCCCTGTTCTCTCAACAGTTAGTTTTAGTTGAAGAACAGGCACGCGAGGATTCTTTATAGCGACATCCATAGTCGCGTGCCGCTGGCCGGGAGTGCCAACCAATCACAGCTCTGTCCGCGAGTCCCACCTCGAGATAATCCCCCACAGGCCACGCCCCCTGTCTCCGCTGAACTAACATCTCAACTCCGCGCGGACACCGGCTGCTCCCTGCGCTCACTAATAACTCAATTTAGTGTTTATTTGAGAACATGTTCCCGTGACAGGTTTAAAACACTGACCCCCCGAAGTGAAGAGACTTATTTCGTCAGTTATTACTCTTAGGACACCGGCTTTTTACATTTGACATGCACATATCTTATCTGCTGCACTGTTGGAATAGTGTGCAGGGGCTTTAGATTTCCATTAGCAACAACTGCGCTAGATATTGTGCATATTACAATACAATCAACTGACTCAGTTTAAAGCCTTAAATAAATGGTTCCATTGTTCATTCTCGTGTTTAAACTGAAAATAAATCAACGTGACCTTTCAGTTATCTGACCAATCAGAAGAATGAATCCGCGTTTAACTTAATTTGAGATACTAGTATAACTTTAAGTTGTGGCTCATTCAAGTCGGTAACATCTGAGTCTCTCTGCAGGATAAAGTGTTGGACATGTCAGCAGCAACAGTGTGATACATCTATTGAGTCTCTCACTGACACATCCGTCTATAACAGAACACACATTCATATTACAATAGCCCACATCATCATCATCATCATCATTATTATTATTATTATTATTATTATTATTATTATGTGGAACGAGGTGGCTCAAAACGATGACGTCGCCACTCCCTCAGTGTCACTATGATGTTCTCTGCAACAGGTTGACCCATGTGTACACAGTTACGATATTGCTAGATTATATAATAATAATAATAATAATAATAATAATAATAATTACAATTCTTCTTCAACAATTATTAGTTATTTATATTTGCTTTTCTGATTTGTAATAGATAATTCAATACTAATAAAATCAATGTGATAGAAAGAAACTGATCATGTTTGGAAATGGAGGATCCTCCCATGAAAGCAAAACGGCTTCAATACAAACAACAAATAAAAAACAAAAACAAAGTAGTGTTTATCTCTTTATTACATGGCATAAACAGAACATGGTGTGACCCTGCACCATGTCCCAGGCAGAGCGCTGGCCCGGCCCCAGGAGCCCCGCAGAGAGCGCTCAGCTGGGTCATTTATTCCGCAGTAAGTGGGCAGCGCTGCGCCATAAATACATGCACCAGCAGAGTGGTCGATGCGCCACTTGTGCCCTCCAGAGCGGGTTTTATTGGGAGAGCTGGTTGACAAATAAAGGCACAGTGGTGGGCCCTGGAGCGCGCGCCTCCCTGACACCTCACGCGACATATTAACGTTCCTCGGTATACCGAAAGGAGACTTCCCACCGGTGCTCTCTATAAGTACAAATCTATTCAGCCTATTCACACAAGAGGGCCCACTTTGTTCCCAAATGGCTCTTTTGCTGCGCGAGGCTGGGTGCGCGCGCACCGCGTGTCTGTGTGGGTTGGACAGAAAGCTGCCACTCGGGCGCGGCCGTGGGAAGAACACCATCCGCGTCCTGCCGCCAGTCAATGCAACATGTCGGGTTATAAATGAGCATGTGTTGCTGTCTACACAATGAAGCTGTGGCTGGGGGAGAGGCACACAATACACGCAGGGCCCGGTACTAACCAGGTGCTGAATACAACACCAAACACTGACAGGACCCTGAACACAACACCAAACACTGACAGGACCCTGAACACAACACCAAACACTGACAGGACCCTGAGCTGCTTCCACCATAAAAAGCACACTTCATTGTACCGTCACCTTCATGTGAACGAAGCGATTTGATTGTTGAAATGCTCCTGTTCTCCGCTGCTAACTCAGGGTTGCTTGTGGTATGGCAGGTTGCTTAATGGTTTTGTTTTAGGATCAGTTTATTCAAATGTCGTCATCAATAGTCTTTTTGAAGACATTATTACCAATAAAGAGTCCTGACTGAGAGAGAGCTCCCGGCATGCTGCCCCCTCCACGTCACAAGATTTTCAATATAATATTAATGTAGCCTTTATCAAGCAATGTGTTTTCCTTAAATAAGGACCTTATTGAGGATATCACCATAACCTTAATATATAACCATTATTCTTTTTTGGAATTCAATATTGATTCTTGTTAACATGTGAACGTTTTGTTGTTGTGAGAATTGCACAACAATATGACAAAAGTTAGGATAAAAATGTTATATTTATTCTAATATTTGGACATATAGTTTAATCTTATTCTAATTTCTATATTTCTTATTCCTGCAATTTACTGCAAGCCTTTTGTCGATTTCACTATTTGATGTCATTTCCTTTGATGTAAAGTATATTGCATGTTGCATTGTTGGAAGAGCCTGAGACTCAAGATGTTATAAAGGCCCAAACCACACGGTAGCTCTGGTGCATATCACAACAACCCTTTGAGCCTTTCAATCTTTGATATACAAAGAAGTACACATGCTAATAAAAGAGGTACAAACATGTGATGGTGACAAGTGATATTTTATTCTTCTGGTTTCAGAAAACAAAAAGCTGACACACATTTGCAGGTGAGTTTCCTTATAGGAAAATATAACACCAAAGTAAACAAATATACATTCCTTCTGTTGAGAAGCCAGAAAGTCCTATTTGACTTACAAATGATACTTTTGTAGTTTTATTAAAACTGCCCCCCGATCATTATCACATCTCTATTATCGATACCATCAATATTTAAAGGCATCAATAAGGCTCTGCTTAAATGTCACATCAATGTTAATGTATTGACTTCTTTGTGCTGCTAAATGTTTAAACATGATCAACACTTCTTATGTTTAGAGCATATAGATTTTTAATATTATTCAAATATGCACTATTTAATTTCAATGTACAGTATTTAATATAACATTCTGTTTTTATTTAATAATGAAATGCATTTTACTTGCACCATTCTCTAACACATTTTCAATGGAACTATTGTTGTTTATTTGTACGTCTTATTGTATGTGCTGCTTGTATGTAATATGCCAAATAAATCCATTACATCTCGGTGACATGTGAGGCTCGACTCTCTTTTTGGTTATTGCTGTGATTTCCTCACGTGCCTCTCCCATACAGCAGCTCTCGTGCATGCCTCTGGTTCCAGTTGAACCAGGTTGTCAGATAAAGTTCCAACATGTCAGGTTGGGAACATTTCATTTCTGAGATCTTCAAAACTTTATTTGTGTGCAGTGATTTAAAATCTTCTGAAAATGTTATCACTAAGGCAACAGTGCACTGTGTGTGTGTGTGTGTGTGTGTGTGTGTGTGTGTGTGTGTGTGTGTGTGTGTGTGTGTGTGTGTTTGCAGTGACATGTTAGAAAAGTGTGTATCCACCCCCCCACTCTTTTCTGAAAAAAACAGATGATAATTCGGACCGTGCAGGTTTTTAACGCGCCGTGACCGCGCGCTCCACGCCGCCTCATTGATGAACGTGCTGTCACAGGCCGACCTGCGCGAGCGCACCGAGTGTTTCAGTTCCCATGCTGCCCCTCGGTCTGCAGCCTGCAGCCGGCGGGACGGTGCATTAACCGGACACTGCGGGCACACACAAAAACAACAAAACAAGCACACACATACACACACACGCACGCACGCACACACACACACACACACACACACACACACACACACACACACACACACACACACACACACACACACACACACAGGTCTGATTTATCCTCTGACTGTCTTTATTTGGTATATCATTTGTATCTCTCTCCTGGTGCATGTTAGTCCAACATCATTCACAAAATCCCAGATTCATTTATACTAACAAGGATTATAACACTAAATATAAATATACAAATAAATAGCCAATGCTTCAAATAAGAATATGCACAAACATATATGTAGGCCTGTATAAAGAAGCCATCATAATAAACACTTTAAACCCATGATCTGTTCATATTTGGATTATTATTCTTGACTTTTCATGTATTCATTTCATATCCAGATGGAAAGGGGCTTAATTCCAGCCATATTTGATTTGAAGAGTCTGTAATTTCATATATATTTTTCTAAAACAATCTTTTAAGATAAAAGAAAATGCAGTTTGGTAATATTTAAATAGTTACCTAATTGCCAACATTAAAAAAAAGCTCAATTTAAATATGAAATTATTTATTGTTTATTTATTTATTTCATTTATCATTTTCAACTTCAGACAGAGTTTATGTTGAATTGTTTAACTATAAGGAAATGTGCATGATGTGCTAGATAACCTATATCCCTTTCTTCTCGATCAGTACCAAATGAAAGGGTTCATTTTGACTAAGCAAAGGAATATGACATTATACACCTAGAAAATAAATCATTACTGTTCCCGGTCCAATTTAGAGTCTTTTGTTCCTCTTTACACTTGTATTGCATCAGCAGATGATTATGGACGAACGTCTTGGTTCTAAAAACACCTTTCCTGTCATGAAGAGAAGGGGGAATCCAGAAAGTGAACCGCAGCGGACCGCTGAGAGGAATTACAAGTGGGGCTAATCCTCCACACTGATTCAGGGGTAATCCCTAATCTCTGGCTCAGGGGATTATCCATCTGTGACTGAAACTAATTAAAGGGATTTACTGAAGAGTCATTTAACAACTTCAGTCGATGCATCTTTTAACTGTAACCTTTGCTGTGGCCACTTGAAGGTCGCCGCATGATTTCAAATGTTGAATAGTTATTTTTAATTCATTAAGAAATATTTGACATACTTATTTCTATACATTTCCGTGACTGTTTACTTTAATGAAAGGTCACATGTTAGATGATGTCCTCTGGAATATTCTCTGGAATTTGGATATTTAAAAAAATATTGACTCTATCATTACATAATCAAAAT